AGAGCCCATATGGGAAAACCTCTGATTGGCTTGATTTCGGCTTCGCGAAATCCTATTGGCCAAGAGGCTTTAGAGGAAAATCTCTGATTGGCTCGATTTCGGCTTCGCCAAACCTCATTGACTAAGAGCCCATATGGCAAAATCTCTGATTGGTTCGATTTCCACTTCGCTAAATCCCATTGGTTAAGAACCCATATGGGAAAATCTCTGATTGGTTCGATTTCGACTTCGCGAAATCTCATTGGCTAAGAGCCCATATGAGAAAACCTCTGATTGGCTCGATTTCGTCTCAGCGAAATCTCATTGGCTAAGAGCCCATATGGGAAAACCTCTGATTGGCTCGATTTCGTCTCAGCGAAATCTCGTTGGCTAAGAGCCCATATGGGAAAACCTCTGATTGGCTTGATTTCGGCTTCGCGGAATCCTATTGGCCAAGAGGCTATAGAGGAAAACCTCTGATTGGCTCGATTTCGGCTTCGCCAAATCTCATTAGCTAAGAGGCCATATGGGAAAATCTCTCATTGGCTCAATTTCGTCTCCGCGAGATCTCATTGGCTAAGAGCCCATATGTGAAGACTTCGGATTGGCTTGATTTCAGGTTCGCGAAATCTCATTGGCCAAGAGCCTATAGGAGAAAACCTGTAATTGGTTGGATTTCGGCTTCGTGAAATCTCATTGGCTAAGAGCCTATATGGGAAAACCTCTGATTGGGTCGATTTCGGCTCCGCCAAATCGCATTGGCTAAGAGCCCATATCGAAAAACCTCTGATTAGCTCTATTTTGCATCCGCGAAATTCTATTGGCTAAGAGCCCATATCGGAAAAATGTCTGATTGGCTGGATTTGCTCGACGCGCAATCTCATTGGTTGATAGCCCATCTCGAAAAACCTCTGGTGAGACTGGAAGTCAATTTTTGTGTATATTTTCACAAGGAACTCCTCTGAAGGTTAAAAAAACATTTTTCCGTTCTGTGCGAACGAACGAACGAAGTTACGAACGTAGTTACGAACGAAGTTACGAACAGACAAACCTAACTCGGTGTATGACCCTCCTTTCAGTAGAGGGAATAAAGGCAATGTCTGAACGTTATTTATTCATTATTGATTCGATAGGTAGTACAATTCACTTTGAATATGTACTTTTCCTAAAGCGTTCATTTCATTCAAACGACATCTAGCAACTCATTATTTCAATTGAATGTATAGAAAAAGTTTCCATTCAATATCGAGAAAACAATGGAATATATGATAACTTTTTTTCCTTTGTTTTCAGAAAACTTACACTTATTGAACACATTTCGATATTTTACCAATCCATATCTTTCTATTTTATTTTTTTTAGATTTTCTTTCATTATCCACAAAAGTGTTTTTTTTAATGGACGAAGAAAATCTCGATTCGTTCAAAAAATTATTGTTTGATAATGCTCTTGGTAATATAAGTAATATCTATTTGCACTTTATATCTTTTTGGCTCCCATACTATCTTTTTTAGAGTCATCACCACATACAGGTAAACAACGTCGATGGCGTGCGAAGAAAAAAGATCAACATCATCGTACTCAATTATCTCTACATCGTTTACTAGTTGAACAAATGGTAAATAACTTATTTTAATCGAGCTAGCTCAACATACAACGATGATGAAGTTTGAAAAAATAAGTATTTTTTTTTTTGATAATGAAAATTTTGTTTTTTTTGTGTTAAAAAGCTGAAACTGCTTTAATAACATGTGAAATTAAAAGTATTTTTTTGTTTTTTTTACATTTTTTTGTACACGGTGTGCAAAACTTATAATAAAATGATATGAAAAAGAAAGTAATAATAACCTACAAAAGGCTTCTTTAATGTGACCAGAATCAGCCAAGAAACACAAGAAATAAGAAACAGACAAGAATCTAAGAAAAAAAGAATTAGGCAAGAGCATCAAGAAGAATAAGAATCAGACAAGAATTCATGAAAAGCAAGAATCAGGCAAGAAGACAAGAGTATAAGAATCTTGTCTGGAGAAGAACTTCTTGCCTCACCAGCCAAGATTCGGTCTACACGAATCTTGTCAGAAAGGCAAGATCAGTTTTTTCAGGCAAGAATCTTGTATAGAAGGAATGGAAAAAGAATCTTGTCTGAAAACCAAGAAAAACAAGAACCTGGAAAGAATAGGGCAAGATCGTCGATTAGTGATGTTTTCATTCTTATAAATATTTGTTTTCTCTCTATTTTAGTTTTCCATCAGAATATATTGGTACATTAACAAGTGTTATGTGGACTTTAGTTGGTGTTATTGCTACTGTTCAATGTGATTTAATTCAATTAACAGATGATATATTTCGTTCATGGAGAGTAAGTTTCTTATTATATCTTTCATCATTATTTGATAGAATTGATATTTCTTTAATTTTAGGCATGGTTAATTGTATTATCACTTGTTATATTGATGTCATGTCATTTAATTCAACTATGGTGGAAATATGTACGAGAGTTAAGAAAAAAACCAATGCCAACTGTTGAAATAAGTAACATCATCAAATTTTGAAAACCATAATCAATTGCATTTATTTCTTTTTTTTGCTTTTACTGAGAACTTAGTGTTAATCTATTTTTATTTGATCTGGAATCATTGTTTACATGATCAATGTTACGTGCAGTATAATTTATGATAGGTTTTGATTGTCCAGTTGTTGGCCGAACGGCTAATTTGTTACGGTGAAGAAAATATTGCTTTTCATCATCAATCAAAGGTAAAAATGACGACGAAGAAAGATATTCAGAGGAAAAATTTCGAAATTGTTTGTCAATAAATGTTAACGGATAACTAGAAGATAATTTATATAAAAAGATTTGCTTGAGTTTTGAATAAGATTAAATAATGAGTGAAATATAAGCAGTGAGGGTGAAGTTTTACGTATTCATGAAATTTTCGACCTTATTTTCTAGTTCTTGTATTAATTCGTACGGTCATCATCAGCAAAAGAACATCATCTGTGACCTTGACTATTTTATGATGATTTATCTAACACCAATCCATAATACCAATATCAAAAATAAATCTTTGAAGCCGAAAACTAAGTAATAATCAAGTAAATAATATTGAATACTTAATACCAGCGCACACTATTGGGACCCCTCAAGGATACGCTTCTCACCCACACCATAGGGATCCCTCAAGGGTACGCTTCTCAACCACACTATAGGGATCCCTCAAGGGTACGCTTCTCACCCATACTATAGGAATCCCTCAAGGGTACCCTTCGCACCCTCACTTACTCCCCCTCATGGGAACCCAGGGTAGCATCCGTCAATAGTGAATACTTGAATATTTCACTTGAAACTTGTTCAATTGAATTCAGTTGAATTCAAGTTTCAAGTTGGACATATATGCATATATAATAATTATATAGAATTATAAAAATTTAATTTATTTTATAATTTCATAAAGTAGTAATTAGAAAAAAAGCATAATTTATATTTATAATAAATATAAATTATGAAAAAAATAATTTATGTTTATTTTTAAATATAAATTATTTGTAATTCAAATTTATTTTAAATAAACAGGTAAATGACACCCCTACTCATTTGCTCAAGTCTTAGACGGAGATATTTAATTTCTTGTTGGGTGCTTGACTTTTGGCCCACCCTGTATATTGCATAATCCATGACATTTTAATATGTTGTGCAAGGTATTTCAATAATCGCTTAAGCAACATTTACTGTAATTAAACCCATAGATGCAGTTATTGATGAGCTTTAATCTATAATAAATATTTTCTGAAATTATTTGTCCTTTAGATTGTAGGGAGCGGGAGACAAAGGTTATGTGGCACCTTCTAGAGCTTTTTAAAAAAAAAAAACTAGTTCCCCATAAAGTTCTATTCCATCTAGAATCATAAAGGGTTCAGCAAATAGTACCCACAGCTAGAACCTAAAAAATGTTTTAGTTGGCCGCTTATTTTATTTACAGTGTAGAACATTCATTGACCAGTGGATGCTTCCGCTCACTAACATCCTTCGCCATACTGTAACAAGGATGAAAATCAAACCGTTCTAGCTGTTTTGCCTGTCAAATATTCTCTTTATAACCGATAAACTTTGTATAAGAAATACATGTTGTACTGTTCCTTTGACCTGCATCATTAAATACATGTCGATGCACTATTCTGTGATGCAAACACAATATGACATCAAATGCGATGTTGTTTTTGTGTACTCAAAAAGTGAGTACACTCTAGAATCGGTCAGTGTGTCCGTCCGGCCGTTAACACGATACCTTTCGAAAGGAGAGTCCGATCGCGATGAAATTTTCTACACAGTTCAGTCTTAACAATATCTCGGCCGAGTTCGAAGATGAGAAGGATTGGCCGAGCCCTTCCTGAGTTATTGCAAAAATACTCATTTTTCCCTGCACCTTCCCTATGGAAAGATCGACCCATCCCCACTTTCGTAAAAGACTTTTCCTATCATAGTCAACTAAAACCCCAACTATTATATACCATTCGATAGAGAATTTCACGAGCTACAAAATGGTATATAAAACATAAAGAAACAAGAACGTTGGCTCATCTATCACAAAGATAATTAAAGAGAACTAGGTTATATTTTTGTCCACGATCTAATTGATCCATAAATAGAGCTCTATCTTCCGATCACAGTGATGATACTTCGAGATTTTCTGAGATGGAGAACTCGAATCTGTATTCCACTTCCATCGAAATACTATTGGTTGAGCAGTGACCAATAGAAATCAAGTTATAGGAAAAACGACTTTCTCAGGGTAAATCAAGGGGAAGAGTTCAAATTTGAGCTGTATTCGGTCCCAAGTCCTATTGGTTTGGCAATACTCAATAGAAATCAACAGTTTAGAAGGTAGGTTCTCCAGTATAATTTTGATGTCCACACGTTCTAGAACGACTCATCTGTCTCATTCACTTTTTGAAGTACACATAACTCTCGGATTTAAATCCGAAGTTTCCGCATTTATTTATTACTGCATCTGTCTCTCTCTCTCTTTTTCACTCCAAAATTACTTTGGGCGTTATGTTGCTTTGTACAATCATCGTTTTTTATCGTTTTTCTTTTCTTCCTTTGTATCAAATGCGATGTTGTATTTTATTACTGCATCTGTCTCTCTCTCTCTTTTTCACTCCAAAATTACTTTGGGCGTTATGTTCCTTTGTACAATCATCGTTTTTTATCGTTTTTCTTTTCTTCCTTTGTATCAAATGCGATGTTGTATTTTATTACTGCATCTGTCTCTCTGTCTTTTTAGTCCAAAATTACTTTGGGCGTTCTATTCGTTTATACAATCATCGTTTTTTATCGTTTTTCTTTTCCTTCTTTCTATCAAATACGTTTACTATTGTATATTTAAAGGATAGAGAAAGAGGGATTTTATGGACGAATGCGAGGAGAACAAACAAGATATGTTCTATTTTTGCCGCTCTTTTATTCGAATGGACCATATATGGGAATAAGTATAAAAGAGAAATTAGTTTCTCTTGTTTTTATAACACGAAAAGAATCAGAGAAGGAGTTAGTGCGTTTATAACTCTCTAAAAAAAACAGGTACTAGAAGAAACCATTTATGGTTCAAGCGAAGATACTGAACTGTTTGAGGTTTTATTCGTTTGTTAATAGACCATCGATGGTTCTGGATAATTTAAAAAACCATTTCTGATAGAAAAAGGTTCCACATGTCGAGAAGAGTTCTACCTTGCACCCTTTTTTTTTATGCTGAACTTATTTTACAGAGATGGTTCTAGCGCTAGTCGCTCGAACTAATATCGATCATTCTCTGAACGCGACTTAATTAACATAAATCTGGAATAGCTTTACTTATCTCGCGACAAAAATAAAAAGCAGGCAACCAACGCCACTGAAGTCGTTAATAATAACGGTTAACTAGGGATGCAACGGTGACGATCATACATCGGATCGTTGATATTTACCGCTACCGGCCAATGTACATCAGTTATCACCCATATTTTCACAAAATTTCTCTACCAATTCATGAAAGGATACCGCCGGATAAGATCGTAAATCTGCCACCCCCTAGTTCT